AAGAAGGAAGAAAGAAGTAGATAATATGGAGACGATTCAGTAGGATATGTCAAACGTATTCCCCTTTTTGAGAGTTTGCATCTCTTTCCAATGTACAATGTAATATTACTACCCGTACCCCCAAAAGCTGACCTCTCTGAAAATGAGTAACTGTATAAAAATGAATGCGGTTACCTCTATCGATTCATTGACAAAATTGCAGCTTTCTCGATATTCGTATTAAAGGGTAAAATATTATATAACTCAATTCAAAATTTCTAAAAATGTTTCCCCTTCACCATTCACTTTCATGGGTTAAACAAGAGTGCCATAATGCGTAATTTAATGTTTTGCGTATCCAGCTCTACTCTTTGAACCTTTTTGCGGCCAGCCACTGTGCCAGGGCTATCCCAAACTGCGTGGGGTGCATCCGAAAGGGAAGACGAAGCTATTATTAATTTGACACGAATCATCATAGGTTGATAACTGAGCACTTGTCTGTTCCTAAATGACAGGGGGAGTAAATAATACACATGAGACGCCAACCTCAGTAAAGTGAAACGGGGGACAAACGAGTTGTAACGAGTTTGAGTAAGCTGACATTTTCCCACCAAAGAGATGAAGCCGAGATAATTATTATGTCTTCTCTTGAAAAAGTTTTGCAGCTCTCCATCCACTTGCTGCTGTACAAATCCCACCTTTCGAAATTCTTAGAATAGATCGTAATGGAGACAACACATTGTGTTGATAACGAAGATTCATTCGCGTTCAGCCACAACAAGGCAATATGATTTGTTTACGAACACATCTCGCTGATTGGGCAAGCTAAACCGTATAAGGGAAACTAACAATGAAAAGCGTACAGCTGAACGATTACCTCCCTTCCACGTAAAACTATAAGTACATCTCTGACCACAGAATTCTACACTAAGTGTAGAATTCTGTGTCTCTGACTGAGCTTCGTGCTATCGCATATATTATTATTATTATTATTATTATTATTATTATTATTATTATTATTATTATTATCATATAATCATTATTATTATCATCATCATTATTATTATTATTATTATTATTATTGTTGTCATTATTATTGTTGTTATTGACACTTTCCACAAAGGGGGCTTGCGGGGAGAGGTGGTGGTATTACTGGAAAACATCTTTATTATAGTAAGGTTTTTAGGTGTTCTGTGTACAGGCTGCACAATAACATGGTGTACCGTTATAGCAAAACAGAACAGTCAGTTTGAAATCAGGTCTAGCTTTTAGAATCATTCATTGTTGAATGTATCTATTATTTAGCTATCTTCCTTTCAGGTATGAGTTCTGAGAATTAGAGATTCACCAACCCTTTAGAAAACCTTTCTGATTATAATCAATTCAAAGAGAAGAAGCGTTTTGAATTCACAGTACTAAGATTTTAGGTGCACTGTGATAATATCAGTCAGCAAGACAGAAAGATAGCTCTTTATGGTTAACTCATCTGAGACCTTTTTCTCTGTATAATGCCTTCAGAGCTGTCTTTGTGTTGAGGCAAGTTCGGAGCCGTTGAAAGGTTTATGGATAATAAACTTACCTGTAATATAAATGAAGCCATTTGTTCTTACTTTAAACAAGATTGTTAAATTAGCCGTTAAGTGTCATCAATCCTTTGAGCTGAATAATTATGAAATTTGTCCATTGTCTAGGGAAGTTCTTCATCCGTTACAAGCATGCCACACGCCACTCTACTAGCTCTAGAAAGATTGATACCTCGCAAATAATCCATTCCATCCTAATTGGCTTCCTTTGCCTCGTTGACCCCGTCCGTCTTGTACAGTAGGTCACAATTACTCATGTCGATCGTGAGGTGTCGTGAAGTCTGTTCCGTGTCACAATTCTATTCAGACAGCTTATACAGACAACAATCCATCAGTATCCACAAGTATACACAACACCCACTCATACACATTATGCATACACTAGCACGAACGCACGCACGCACGAACGCACGCACGCATGCACAATATGCATGATACCGTCAGAAAAACACTGAAAGACCACTGAAGATCTTATCAGTTATGATTTTTACGTGAAAGTAAATTTTGTTTTAATGACCAACATATCATTATTATATGTGCTTAAATATCCAACAGACAAAGGAGAGACAATGATAAACTTCGAAAAAAGAGAGTGCGCACAGGAACAGAATTATTTAAGGAAAACAGTTTTAAATGTAAAGGAATACAAATAGCTTGCAAAAAAATGCAATACATTCAATGAGAACCGAGAATGGCAGTCACATATCATATCAATGACTAAAAAAACCCAACACACACACAACATAGTACACTTCGTCCGAGACTAAGTTTCACGAGCCGAGCATAATATTGTTATCATGAAGAGAAATATCTTTCTCATTGGTCAACAGGGGGGAAATCCCACGAGTGAAATTAATGGTCTACTTTAGTGATGACGAAACTGTCATTACTTTTTCTCTATGTATCCGGTAGAGTGTTCATGGGATCTTCAATTACTTTTTGTGGGGCCATGATTTGATATTTCAAGGGAAAGCAACAATGTATAATGTGCAAATTTTGCTGCATCTGATCTTTCCAAGTTACACTAATATTTCCTCTATTTTTAATTTCATCATCACATAAAAAGTCTAATTTAGTCTTAAAATAAACGTCAACTTTTTATTATTTATTATTAAAAGAGAGCATGTTCTCTTTCGGGATGAAATATTATTGTAAGGTGTCTATATTTTCTCACAAAGGTAGCAGGTAGTGTTGATAGTCCGTTATTAGGCTACTGGAATCGTAATCGAGAGATTGTAGGCTCGGGAGTTCGAAGCTCAACTCAGCCCTACATGTTGTACTTTGAAGAGGCACTGTTTACGATTTGTTCCCTTTTTTGGCTCGGTCCTATCGGAGATGAACGTTAAACTTGGAGGCCCTGCTTCTTAGATTACCTCAAAGTGTTGCAAGGGGCGTTTAAACTACATAATTTCGCACTTTTTCCCCAGAAAGGTAGGACAAGAAACAAGGGCAAAAACTGTTCTTCAGTAAAGCGTAACAGGTATATTACTATGATAAAAGTTCCTTTGTATATGCTCAGACTTCATTTTCCAATTCAACGACTCAAACACCACATAATATAAATATCAAATGCTTTGGGTTGAAAACCTTTCCCAAGTTTTGAAGACCAGTGATACACCTGGCATCTAAAAAGTGTGCGTAGGATACATAACAACAGGCTGGAAGTCTCTGAGAAGACAAAACAGAAAAATCGTAAAACGGGACTTAACTTATTTCGACACTATTTCGACAAATAAAGACTAAACAAGGTAGCATGTTTCAAAGAATACTAACAGACTGGTCATGCTCTCTTTTTCCAGGGCATTACCTTACCAGATCGTAGCAAACAGGCTGAGAGGAGTATATATATTTTTGAAGTTCAAAAGATCCTGATGATGTTAATAGGTAGAGATTGAAAATACTGGTATATACTCTGCCAACAAAGCCATGAGCTTTGCCATCTATTTAGATGCAGATAATATGTCCATGAACAACCAAGTAAATCATGTTATTCGATGTATGTACCTTGATCTCAGAGGAACAAGAAAAGTAAGGCACCCTTTTTCAACTAATATTTCATGCATGCTCTCTGTTTCTCTTGTCATGGCAAAGCTTGACTATTGTAATTTTGTTTCATCTGGAATTTCATTAAAGCTAATGAAGAAATTGCAAGTGGTCCAAAATAACACCGCAAGACTAGTGTTGAAGAAAAAGAAGAAATATACTGCTTCAGAAATGTTAAAAGCTCTGCATTGGTTTCCAGTTGATAAAATAATCCAATATAAAGTTTCTACCATCTATATGTCCTTTCCATGATGACATTGTCACTGCTTCTTTAAAAGAGCAAGAAATAAGGCAACTCCAGGATCAAGTTCAACCTTGAAAGACTCAAAGACACAACCATGTTAGAATGTGTTCAATAAAACACAGGAGGAAAGTTTGCTCCACGCCTAGCGCTAAATCAAAATGACACAGAAGTTGGCTCCCTGATAAACACATTCAACACCGCCATGACAGAAAAAGCAAATGAGCTCCTTGAGAAACATCGCGTAAAAAAGAAGCCCTGGGTCACAGATGACATCCTTGACCTACATGACAAACGAAGAGCTCTGAAGAACAAGAAAAATTAACCAGAATTTTTACGAACAGTTTGTTGATAAACGCTGATATGTTTTGTTTTAACTACTGTCCCTTAAGTGTATATAATTAATGTATGGTTGTGAAAGTTCTTTTTTATGAGGTTGAACTGGATTTTCTTGTTACTGTTAAATATTTCATCTTATGTGAATCGTTCAGTGATCATGTGATTGAATTGAAGTGCTCAGAACTTATACTCGTATGGGATAGAGTGCTATATATATAAAAGCAATCTATTATCATTATTATTATATAAAGCGACACCAACTTCGTATTTATCCCCGGAGAAACCTTGCTCACTTCTAAATGTCCTATTGTGTGTATGTCTTGCATACGTCCTTATAATTATCATGCCGTGAGTGCTATATCAGCTGTGCATCTTAAAAATAAGACGACTTATTGATAAAATTCACCAATTAATTTATTAAAAATTTTGACGATACTGGCCATGAAATAATTTGGGACCTCTTAGTTTGAATGCAGTCAGGAGGATTTTTAAGGTTGGTCAGTTTTTGTTCAGGGGCGGGAGGGGGGTGGGGATTGGGCAACCATATCTTAAAACATTGCATGAACGTACTTTCAGAAAGCTGTTGCTGCCACGATAGCACAAAGAGATGTGTTTGCTTTTCGTATTCTCTTGACCTCCAAATGATAAAAGCTCAACCTCCTAACCCCCCTCCCCCCCCCAAAAAAAAAGAGAAGATCAAGATACTGTAACGGTACATTACATAGTTAGCTCCCTGAAAACTTCAATGAGAAAGCTGGAGCTCCAAAGGTAAAGCATTCTTGTCACCAACATTTGGTTTAATAATAATGAAATAATCATTGTTTTCTCCTGCACAAGCTCTCATCAAATGTCTTCCTGTATTTGGAACTCATATTGTAATAAACAAAGATATTGATGCTTGAAGCTACTGCTTCAGAAAACATTCCAATAACGGCTATAACTCGGTTAAGATTCGCGTATCGGCCGATGAAGTTCAGCTCTGGCACAAAAGCCCGTGTTGTCAACAGAGCTGTACTGGGCGTGAAACTGATGATATAGATAGCCGCGATGACGACGACCATCCGGGCCACACTTCTGTCCTTCCCCGACATGTTGTCTCCTGAAACGATCGAGGCTCCTGAAGCGCTACTCCGCCACTTTGCTTTTTTGATGAGCTTGATAACGATAACCAAAGTGCAGACTGTGACGATTGTAAACGACGAGAAAGTCACCAAGAATTCTGTAATGATTAAAGAAATTTCCAGTACTTCCTTTCTATTTTCTGTATAAAAGATCCCTATAAGAGTTCTGTTTCTCTTAGGCACAAACTTCCAATCGTAATAAGAAGTGTAGAATGTGGGGAACAGAGTCATTCCGAGTAGCACGAAGAGAGTCACATTGAAGACAATTGCTAATTTTCTGGTAATTATGGATTTCACTTTGAGAGGCAGTGCAATGCACAGACAACGTTCAAACATGATAAATGCAGTAACCCAACCCGTTACCTTTGTAAAATATCTGTTGGGGAATCCTGCAGACTGGGACTGAATTTCTGAGGAGATGAATGGAATGTCTGATTCCTCGAACCAGGGGTTTAGGCAGATGTTTAGCCAGAGCTGCGTAGTCAAAGCTCCCAAGTCTCCAATGGCAAGACTTAACAGACTGATATTGACGGTGTCTACTGTCCCTTGTTTAGCGAACACGATGATGTTTAGAATGTTGGCACCAATGCCGAAGACGCAGAACAGGTCGGCTAGCACAACAGCACCAACGACTGTGAAGACATGCTTGGCCTGGTCACTGATCAGTCCTGGAAGGTCATGCTCACTCAGATACGTGTAGTTGTTGGACATCATGCAGACCAAGATGTTTTCTTTCCTGTTTATAATTTTTAAGCACCCTCTAAGGCCACAGTATACACGTTCATGCGGTCGGTTGCTTCTGTGAGTCAAAGAGTAGCGTCCCGACAAAATTAAATCAATGTATATCATGTGATGATTGAAAAAATGTACTACTTTATGAGGTTCTGGGTAGGAAAAAGACAAAATTGGATTTGAAGGTTAATTATGCTTGCAAACCGATAACATAATGTACAAAATATTTTGGTTTCTCTTTGAATTAGCTTCTCGCTATTTTCCCAGGGCAAATTCAGTTTGATCCTGCGATGACTAAAGCGACTAAACAAGACATTGCCTAATAAAAACTACTGCTCTCGTCCATAGTCTTGATGATTTAACTCAAAACTCTATATGATTGATGTTTGCCTATATGTCTCCGGTGGGTCCCTCACCTTTTGACTTCTCGTACAAAGAAAATAATTGTATGATTTCTTTTCCAAAACAACAATACATCGGCTCATTATATAGCACAGTTATTCAATTCAACTGTCGATTTCTTTCCTCACTACTAAGTTGCCAAGTAGTGGTATTGAAACTTTCAATTATTGAAGGGAAATAACAATAGCAACTGACAACACACTTATAACGCCCATTATCTGATCGATAAGTGCGGTATACTTCTGAAATAACTAGCAATTTGTAATCCAACGCGTTATTAAGTAGATATTATTCTCTGACTCCGATGGAAAAATAACGTCTGTTTAAGGAATAACAAGGCAACTGTCTTGGTAGACATAGCATCATTCCATTTGACTTACTCGTCTTTTTGAACTGACATTACTGTTGTTAGTTGTTTCTCTTGTGAGTGTATGTTATTAAACAATTTTTAGAACAAAAGAATGCGTTTATCACCTCTCGGTGTTCTCTCTCTCTTTGATCTGTTTGAGCCAGTTACAGAGCACTGATTGACAATGACACCTCTTGTGTTTCAAACCGCTTGCGACGTAGATCTACGAAGTAATTGCCTGTTGTATACCAAGCGTGATTACATACCATGCACGCCTGCACTGTGGAAAACTAGAAGTTGCCTCCTTTCTGCCCTCTATAATATTTCGAAGATAATTATCTCTACAACAAAGGTGCGTGTCGAGAAAATGCGAAAAATATGAAAATGTCTGTACACTAGGAAAACAGAATATCCGTTAAGAGGTTGCGTTTTCTATATATTCAGCTGTCGTTATATCATATAATATAATAGTAACATGTAACTCAGATGTAGCAATGTTTAAGATATATTTGCCTTATGCCTCATGTACCTCTTAACACAGTTCTGGGCAGATGACTTAGACAAGTGGTCGCAAAGCAGGGTGATATCTTCCACACGTGGCCACACTTATTAATTTTATTTGGAGGTGGAGATCACCCGGCCAGTAACAGGTGTTATTTCTCTCTCTCTCTCTCTCTCTCTCTCTCTCTCTCTCTCTCTCTCTCTCTCTCTCTCTCTCTCTCTCCTTGAAATTACATGTAGGTGTGCGCTACGATAATTTCAGCCTCTTAAAGATTGCACCTGTGGGTGCTGGCGATAAAAAGGGCAACCCAGCACTGATTTAAGCCACCTTTTGTTGTTTAAAGTTATTTTTATACTCATGAAGAGCATGTCACCATATGAACGGGTATCTATCCCTGCACGTAGATATGTTATGTAGCATTCTCCATTGAGCCTGCTCCTTAGATTTACGTCACTTAGAACACCCTGCGTATTTTCGTCAGCAAAACCTTCCTTGAATAAACTGCACGAGACAAAGAAAGATCTTTTTGCAGTTAGCAGTAGGCCATTTTACTGCACCAAACAAAAAAGTGCTCTATCTTTAAAAGGCTTGGTGAGTTTCACAACCTTCCTTTGTTTGTCACTAGCTTAACTTTACTAATCGAAAACAGTAGATTTATTTTATAAAGCAAGTCGTCCGCGTCTTAGCCTCTTTACTGCTGAGTAGACGTATGTTCTGGCTTGTATTCTCCACTCTCGTATTGTTTCATTTGGTTAACAAGAGAAGTTTTGGTTGGTATAGTTAGAGCTTGTGATTTTGTTTATTCTGAAACAATTCTCTGTGTTTAAATATTCCTTGAGTTAACATTTTATCTTGTCAGTGCTGATGTTGATGGACATTTTCAGCAGTGAAGGGGTTCTCAAAAAAGCATGCGTCTACTCGTTTTCTATTGGGAAACTTTCTTCAAGATCTCGTGAAATTACCGTCCAAGATTGTATGAGTATTAAGTTTGGAAAGTTGTGTTGTAGAAGTTGCATCAGGGGGGACCTAAATTATTACGCTGGTTTTGTAGACAACGTGTATCAAATCATTGTTTTATATATGAACTCTTGGACGGCCAGTTTGCAATGTAAGTACCAGCACAGCCGCGTACCACCCCAAATCACCTGTCAAAATCACACCGAGGTTGACTCTTATCTGAGATTGTACTCCGGCCTTGCCTTCCAGAGTCAAGGTTGTGAACTACTGGATGAAATCGTGAGTCAATGACAGAAGTCTGAAAATCGATACATTATTTCTACCTTGAATACGAAAGAGTGTCAAGTCCGCGTTGCATACAAAACCAAAAGTTAAATGAACTGGAGACATTCGTCAGTTCACATGCTTAAATGGTTTTCCAACTCAAATGTCCCTTTGCACGTTGTACTGTTGCGAAACATTTTCTCAAACTCGTAAGTCAATCCTCACGAGTACAGCTTTTAAATCCTCATAGAGACATTTCTCTTCAAATATCATTGGGGACAACATAATCTCACCATAACAGTTTGAAACCTAATTTCAGTATGCGTCATAGTGTTCCACTTTTCATGATGAAACACAATAATCTCTTCTAAATGAGAAAACAATCTAGCAGGAACAATTGTTTCAAGTTGGCAGTGTTTAGACTGTACTTAAGAAGGCTATTTGATAAATCATTCGACTAGGTTAATCTCCCCTCATTGACAAATTTGTGCAGTACAAATACGGTGAACAGTTATTACCAAAGATTACGAGAAGACTGGACTAACAACGTTAGGGAGTAACGCTAAAATGTCATCGTGTGGCACTCAGTGTTGCTACCTTTTTATTCATAGTACAGAATCGAAACATGAAAATACAGCAGAAAAATTGGGTCACCCTGTAATTGTTCTTTCTTATATCAATAGATCTTTCAACATAAGGCCAGATTACAAAATTCTGAAGAACTTTAAAAGTACACTCGTAGATACCTCTTGTTGAATATTTTACAATTTTTTTTTAATTTGCGTACAAAAAAGTTTGTTAAAATTTTCAACCGAACACTGAACTCAATTTCTCTCTAGCACTTGAAGAATTATTTACTAAAGTGCTCGAAGCAGTTTCCCCAGTGTCTTTAGTGGAGCGGTTCGGCGCTTCGCTGTCACACCCAGGAGACCCAAGTTTAATTTCCGAGTTGGGAAAAAATTTGTGTCGAGTATCTCGGTCTGTCTTATGAGATGTTGTATCCCTCACAGCCTGGGGATTGGTCCTGACAGGCAAGGTCGGGGGTCCGCCTCTGAATCATCTAAATTGTGTCGATGGCGTCGTGTAAAAGGCTTACATTTTAAAAAATATAATAAAGTAAAAGCAATTTCACTATATCTGCGCTTCGACTACGATCATAATATAAAAAGTAAATGACATCCTCACTAATAACAGTTTTTTTAAAGCTATCAACAGCAGGGTTATCAGGTGCCTAAACATCAATAACCTTAGTTCATAAGGGAAATGCTTTTGTGCAGACATATATGTCTATTGTTTTTGTTTATCAACGTTTGAAACAACAAAAAGGTAAAGAAGATTCTCCAGTTCCTTTATTCTTGAATAACAAATATACCATAAGTGCAGAATTTAAAAAAAAAACGTTTTGTGCTGACAGCTAACTTACAGCAAAGTGTGCTCATAGCTGACTACGATCTTATGAAAAATCTGATATCCACAAAAATATCAGGTTCTTTAAAGCAAACAACAGCAGGTTTATCACATGTCAAAACATCAAAAACCTTTGTTAATAAGGGAAAGCTTTTGTATAGGCACTTGTATATTGATTTTTTAAATGTTTGAAACAACAAAAAGATAAAGAAGATTCTCCAATTCCTTTATTCTTGAAAAACAAATATAGCATAAGTGCAGGATTTTTAAAAATCATTAAAAATTTGGGTTGACAGCTAACTTACAGTAATGTGTGCCCATAGCTGACTGCACAAGCATTACAGGGTAGACAGCATAAAGCCGTAGCGTATTTCTTTAATGTCTCAATGTTCATTACACGCCTCATAGCACAATCTCTAAGCAGTGCTCATACGGCAAAACTACACACCAAAGAAAAAGGTAATACAAACTAGAACAAAGACAAGTAAATGAAGGTGACGCGAATTATATTATTATGAAAGGATCAAAATGTCCGTTCCTGATTTTGTTTTGTTTTGTATTGCTTTATTTTTTGTAGAGGAAAATATAGCCGTATCGGATAGTCATGCCTGTGCTAGTCTTCTAAACGGAGGATAGGAATGCGAGGGATTCTAGTGGTTGTTAAAAGAGGGTCTCCCATTATAGGTCAAGGGCTGCTAGGAAATTTGTGGTAAAATCAGACATAGAAGCATTTTCCAACCAACAACTTCTTCTTCCCCTAAGTTATATTATGTTTAAGAAAGACGGGTTCTAGTGTCTTTACAGAGGTGTCTTGTGCAGCATATCTTACATAAACATAATAATTTTTATAGAAGGCAAAACTAGAAGGCAAACATAAGGATTGGAGCCCACAGTATTATGCAAGTGGTAGGAAAGCAGTCATTTGAGAGGGTTCTGAACCTGCATTAAGAATGTAGCTTTTACCAGAATTTGTGTAGATCTATATCCAAAGGCTGCAGAACTCAATGAGGTTGAAGAGACTGGACCCATGCTTAAACAGTAGGGTGAGCACTCCAGGTCAACTCGCTCGCCATGCAGTAACTTTCCCCTTTAAACGTT